AATGTAGTCACGATTAGCAATTTGTTTGCCAACATAGATGTGAAGTGAAGACATTGTTTTTCGCAACAAGGAGTGGTTTTATTGACTTTTGCCTTCCTTGTCTTATCAAACAAGGTATACTTTTATTTTTTGTTAACTGCTCACTTAAAATTTATGAGAGCAACAAATTTACTTGAATTCTCATAAAGAGGTATCCAATGATTGTGATGCCATTTTGTGCGAATGATGACAGCGAAGTTTTATTTGTATAAAGTGCAGTTGAGTATGCATTGCGCTACTAAGTTCGAGCAATACAGGCCCAATGGTGTAGTAGCACTTAAGTAGATATTTGGCTGAGCGTACAACCAGAAGTACATAGCACTCTGCCACACTTCCTGGTAGTATGATGCAGGCTATTTAGACCCAAATTGCCAAGTATTGTTAGCTCGCCACTAATGGAAAAGCACTTCTTGCAATGCTCTTAAGAGAGCAGTGCTCGCAATTGAAAACAAAAACCTCAACGGAAATGAAAATTGCTTTATTTTATTAAAATGGCGTTGAGAGCATAACGCACATGATAAAATGGCCGATACTTTAAGAAAAATCAAGTAAATAAAATGGCATGCAACATCATTTAATTCAGGCGTAAAGAGATCAAAAGGTATGGCCAAGAAGCTAAATGAAACTCACGAACTTTGCTACTCAGTATAGTCGTCTAATGTAAATCGGGTCCAGAATGTAATTGCTTCTCTTAAGCAATTGCAACTCTACTTCAAAAGTAAATCACAAATGATTAAGCATTGGTGAATTTAAATTTGTCTAGAAAAAAATCACAAAGGCCTGCTTTGAAAAATTTGCTATTTTCTTTGTAAAGAATGTTAAGGCACTTTACTATAGGAAGAACACAGAGTTTATTCGAAAACTAAAAATAAAAGTAGCGTATACAAGTTAATTTGTAAAATTATGCAGAAAGATTGAACAGTGTCCCTGGGAGTTTGTGCTGCCCGTCAGTGTGACAACTTTAGGCCTGATCGCAGTCACATTGCCTTTCAGTGGCGATCTGATTTATTAAAAGTTTTAATAAATTTCTAAATATGACTTAGAAAATAGTTATTTATCCCGATTCCAACATGAATAAGAGGGAATACTAAAGATTGGATCCCTATATTCCCTAGGGTAACAAGTTTGCGGTCTGAAAACTTCACAATGATTCGTTAAAATATACTTGTCATTTTAAAGATCTGGAAATCAAATCATATGCACTTTGTCAAAATAGTGCATGCTTCTTGAATTTGAGAGTGGCATATCAAAATAATATAGCTCAATAGCAAACTTTATTACAATTTCTATTGTTTCTAGA